CCCCCCCCCCCCCCCCCCCCCCCGCTAAAAGCAGAGTGGTGCATGTGGCAGTAGTGTGCACCACCAGAAACCAGAGTCTGGTCAGCCAGAGCCATGCTCTGAGTGGTCAGCCCGGCACCACTGCTGCCCCAAGAGGCCCACAGGACCCCAGAGAAGGTTTCTGGAGCCAGCCTCCCCTCTCTCACTCAGGTCACTTTGCTACCTCTACCCCACCTGGGTCACTTTGTGCCACTACTATTTGTCCTGCAGGAAATGTGCACCCCTGCATGTGTGCACTCATTGGGACGTGCCCTCTGGGTTTATCTTGTGAATCATGTTTGTGCACCTAACTCTACGTAGCACACCATGGCACCCCTGAAAGGACTTCTCAGCACCCTGGTTGAGAATCACTGACCTATAACATGGGAGTTTTATGCTGCAATGATTCCATACATTAACCCAAGTCAAAATCTATGCAGTTTAGTAAAACGTGCAAGTGTTTAATTCAGAAGAAAAAAATGTAATCAACTTTCCAACCTTTTACTCCCCAGCACTTTCTGCTAGCAGCTTTCTACAGAAATGTATGAATACTAAGCAGGGTCTACCTTTTTAAAGCACAATTATATCAGTCATCAAAAAACTGTTATACAGTAGGTCTCAAAATCATCTTTTATTCCCCCTACTTTTTTTTGTCAGTTACTCAGGTCACCAGATTTCTCATAAATTTGGCTAAAGAAGGTTGTGCTACCTATAGCATCTTCAGGTGGCAGATCAACGCTGTCTGTGTATAGATACTCAAGGAAGGCACGATATACTGGGTAAGAAAACTGGTCTATTTCTATCACCTCCTTCATGTCCTCATTCCAATACGACTGGAACATGCTTCTGAAATGTTCGCACCTGGAACAAGAAGGCAGAAGCTTTACCTGGCATTCCATATTATTATACAAATATGTTAAGAATGAACTATGTTAAGGAGTCCATTTGAAATAAATCTAGCCTCCATGGTTTACAAAAATATGCAAGGGTTTTTTTGTTCTCTTCTTTCCTGTGTACTCATGTGCAACTCATAACAGCAAAATCCCCCTTTAAAATACTGTGTACAAATCTATGGTTTTTAAGATGCAATTAAATGGGACCAGGTGCAGAAAAGGAATACTGGGAAGGTTAGGGGAAATGGAGAACCCATCTTGTGAGTGGAGGTTAAGTGAGCTTGCTTATTTAGCTTTACAAAACAAAAGATTGAGAAGGGCTTAGACATCACTCTTGCTAGGCACATTTTAGAGTGAACATTGGAAGGAAAAAAGCTAGAGTATACGCATTGCTATTTCTCAGTTACATGCTTATACCAAGTTCTCACACTTTAAAATTGTTTGAAAGATAAATATAAAATACAGAGGACAGAGAAATTAATGGCTCCGGTAATGTGACTATGAAGCGAGGACAAGAAAGTGGGAAAGGAATAAAGCAGCATTTGAGGCGAGTGGGAAAAGGAATAAGAAATTCTCCCTCAAACTGTGGTTTCACAAGGACCATTATGGCTAGATGATACCTCCCAAGATCACCAAAGCACTGTGTTAGGCTAGCTCCCAGAAAGACAAAAAAATTGCAGCTGGCTAATCAGTAGATTAGCATTAGAAGCAAGTTTACATATAAATGTAAGCTTAAATCAGAGAGAATACATAGAACACTAGCGAATACATTTGTCTTCCATCAGCAGATATATTTTGCTGTAAGAGGCAGCCAGATATACACTGAGGCAAGCGTGTATATTGTACTTTGGGTATACAAAATAAAACTAAACTAGACTGCAGATGTGTTTTCTGCCTCTTATCAGTAGCAGACTCACCAACATACCCATCATCCACATAACAGTTAAAAGGAAATTCTCTGGGACACGTTTGGTAATACCATATTTTACAGCTTCTTCTGGTTGTGTGATGGAGGCAGGAAGATACCCCACCCCTTCCTAGCCTATGCCCAAATGCACTGTTTGGCTTCTGCTTTCCTTCTCCATTGTCCTCCTCTGAAGCCACACGTAGGGGTGAAAGATTGCCTTAATGGTACTTAATGATACTGAGAAATTTTTTCAAGTGCTCCACTGGTGGATTTTATTCACATGCTCAGGATCAAACTGATCACCATTTTTGCAATCAAAAATAAATTTTCCCACAGGTCAGACTGGCAAGCACCACTTTTTGTTTTGCTTTGTTTTTGCTTTCTTCCGTAGCAAAAAACACACTTGTCTTCATAGGATCAAGAAAATTCTTTATCCTAACAATTTCTCTGCTGGTTACAGCGGTCTGGTACTGACAATACCGTCGTCTTTTCCGCTCTTTCCCTGTGCATGCTGTGGTTCCCGTCTCCTCTTTCCCCTAGTCCGACCCTGGATACTCCATTGCTTTGGTGCACCGAAGGAGCTGGAAGTGAATGTTCTTGTGGAACCCTTTGGACAAACAGTTGCCTGATAATGGTGTGGAATTGAACTCAATGGCTTGAGAGGTTCCTCTTATTCTATGTTCCTATATTTGTTCATCAAAATAATAGCGCATTTAATGTGTGCTATAAATGACTGTAGAAAAAGATTTTGTTCAGATGGCATTCAATAAAAAAAAAAAAGAAAGTTCTTTAAATTAAAACCTTGTTGTAAAGTTTGGACACTGACCTCCAATTTGAAGATGTTAATATGGACTTTGAGGACTTTAAGGACTAGCCTTTGGTTTCAAGCGCTTCTGTAGTAATATAGTTTTTTTTAAAGTTTTATACTTGTAAGTTACAATTCAACAGCGTTTAAAACCAAATGCAGCATCTCACTTGCATACATTTAAGTCAGTATAAAAACAAAGGTAAAAAAATAGTTAATCAAAGATCTGGTAACCTTAGTGATATTATCCAGGTGTTGGAGTGATGTTGTAGCTGTGATGGTCCAAGAATTGATATTTGGGGATCCGGGTTTTCCATTTCCCATGGATTTCCTGTTTTTAAAATCAGAGAAAACGTGGATTTTCCCTTCTAGCAGAGAAAGCTGTGGATTTCCCCCTTTTGCAAAGAGCTCTGCAGGCTGGTAGAGTTCCAACCTGCAAAGGCTGATTACAAAAGGGGTGGGAAACCCCCAACCCTGCCCGGAGGGAGAGGGGGAAGAGCAGGGCATGAGACTTTTAGTCCCAAGGCTTACCTCTGGCTCACTTTCTTTCTGGAGCCTGTAAGATTAGGTAAATGGGGCTTGCAGGGGGATGGAGGGATGTGGGGCAGGACTGGGGGGTGGGAAGATGGCTGCAGGATGAGGGAGTGGGGAGGTGTTGGTAAACCATGCAGAGCGCCCAGGCAGCAGCAGATGGACCGCCGGCAGCACTAAAATTGGCCCGATCAGGCTCGATGCCTCCATGTGTGGCTTCCCTTAAGGGCCCATAGTGCCGCTGGTGGTCCACATGCAGTTGGCTCACATTGTTTCCCCCGTGACCTGACACAGCAGAGAGCAGAGGAGCTGTGCAAAAAACCTTCTCACTGCTTCTCACACCCCTGCTGCCCTGGCGACACACTCCCTGCATGCTGGGCTGCACTAAGGACAAGGGCGCAGGGCTGTGTTACTCAAAGCACCAGCACAAGAAGGGGTTACATCGCCAGGGTAGCAGGAGGGGCAAAAAGTGGCAAGGAATCCCTGCGCAACCTCACTGTCCCCAGCCGCTCTGAGTTGTGCCCACTGGGCTCCAGAAGCCCTGGGGAAGGGAAGCAGGGTGGGAGCTTGAGCCGGCAGCCTGCACCTACCTGAGTACTGATCTGGGGGGCAAGTCCCCCGCATTCCCTGGGGGTTTGAGCAGCAGCGGGGAGCTGCCCAGCCTGAGCCCGCAGCAGTGAGGGAGCAGCGGCAGAGGGTGGTTGGCAAGGGGCACTAGCAGGGCCGGGGGACTTTGGGGGAGGGAGGCTTTAATTTTAATCACAGATTTTGGAAGTTTTAGTAGAGAATTTGTGATTTGTTAATCAGGGAAAGCCAGGATCCCTGGTAATATCTTCTGTTGGGCCTACTTCATGACTCAGATAATGCTAGATAAGCATTCAAATACAAGATGACCAGATGAAGAATGCCTTGCATTTGAAAGCTTGTCTAACTTTATCCCAACCATGAAGTTGGTCCAATAAAAGATATCACCTATAAAAATTCTTACTTCTTGCAAGATATTATCCAAGAAATTTTCAAGATTACTAATGTTCCATGTAATAAAAAGATATTAGTACACTAATCATGACAAACCCTCTATTTTTTGACAATTAAGGCAAAACCAAATGCAAATTCCATTCTTTCAATTGACCAAAAACATAAGCAGAGGCGATTTCAAATACACTTCAGTACACTGTGAGAGCTGATAAACATGCTGCTCCCTTACTGTAACTCATGGTACTTGACAGGAAACACCATGAGTCACAGCAATCTCATCCCCTCCCCCGCCACTCCCAACCCCAACCCCAACCCAACAGATGTTCGCTGTTGGGTCCATGGGGGGCGTTAAGGGGATTGTGCCTCAGTTTGGAGTGGCTGCATGTCTGCAGCCTCTTCCTCTTGGCCCTACCTCCCTGCTCCCAGCTCTGGTGCTGCCTTCAGGGGATAGGAGGCGGAAAAGGAGAGGAAGGAGCTCAGGCTGGGGTTTGCCTAGCCTGCGCTGGAGGGTGGGGTGGATAGACTGGAGCCCCCCAATTCTGTCAGTGCCATTAGACTTTAAGTACAGTAGACTGGATTTCCTTTCCCCATGCCTTAGTGAGGAATTTAATTGGTTACTCTGCATGCAGTAGAGCAGCAACCTGCAGCACATGTCACAAGTAACACAAGCAGCCTGTATGGAACATAACAGATTGGGAAGAGGACAGGCAGTAGAGTGAGAGATGGGGCAAGGAGCAGAAAGCAGAGTACCAAATTGGGCAGGGAACACAGGACAGGAAGCATAAATTAAACAGAGAGCACAGGGCAGGAAACAAAGTAGAGCAGCCAAATTAGGCAGGGGGAAAGGGATCAGAGCAGGACTCGGGGACTATCTTGTGGCTTGCCTGCCAAAAACATTGGCCCCCACTGCAACAGAAGTATTGAGTACCCAAGAAGCATAAAACAAAAACTACCTGATTTTCAGAACAGCTTTATGAACATGAATGTATTTTCCATCAACACGGAACTTTAGGTCTGAGGTTTCTGGGCTGTCAAACTCTTTCTTAAGAGATTCAGCTACTGTTAAAGAGTCTTCATGCTCTGTAAAAAGACAAAAAATGGTATTGGTTTTTAAACCTTTCTGCTTAATGATAACATAGTCATTTTGCACCAACTTAATGAAATTAGCTGGTCAATAAGATGTTGTTGGATAACATTATAGTATTTATTCATTAAATCCTTGGTAACTATGTTGGAAGCCCTGACTGCCATGCTATGAAAAGTATGGTTATACAACAGCCATTTTGCTACTGATGCAGTACTTCTCTTCAGTATTCTTGGAAGTTGAGTAAAATTACTACACAGAACAGGCTTCCAGATGGAGCTCCCTCAGCATGTAGACAGCTCTTATGCAGCTCTGGAAAACACTGATTCATTTCCCTGGTATGAAATGGAGACCATAAGACCCATGTATCAAGAGACAAAATAATCTAGGTGACATGACTCTTTAATATTTATTATTAAAGAGAATAAAAACAAAACAAAAAATACACCCTTAATATAGTTTAAGCACTTTCAGAATTTCTAAAAAAGGAAATTGATTGACTGCTCAGGGAACAAGTCCCTTAACACTAATGCCCAGATATGGCAGGCGCCACTGAAAAACAACATGTGCCTGCATAAGTGCCATTTTATGTGGTACCTAGCATCCCACTGTATCCTTCCTCATTTTACCCTTCACTTTGTTAGGAACAGTTTTCACTGTACTGGGATTACTTGTAGCAGCTTACCACAACTCACTGAACAGAAAAAGGTCATGGACCCTTATTTCTGTATGGAGTGCTGTGAGTCTTTCAAATAGAGGAACACAAAAGCCAACTCTTGCCACAGGGATTTCTAGCAATCTGACAACATACATGTCAGCGCACTACAGTGCAAAAGATATGCCAGAGGAAATTCTAATATTATAAAAGCCTAAGTCTGTCTGTCTGAAACACTTTATTCATGCTCTGATTGGCCGACAAACAGCCATTCTGACAGAAGGCAGCCCGCCACCATGATGGTGGGGACACAAGGGACAGAACAGGGAGGGAGAGGCCAGCACAGCTGGCCTTGGCTACCCCGCCCCACTCCTTGGACGCAGCAGCAATAGAGCAGATGGACGGATGGGGGGCAGGGGGGATGAGGCCATCAGGGCTTCCCTCACCCCTGCCCCGCCCTGCTCCCTGCAGGTAACACAGGGGAGGAGTGGGCCCAGGCCCAAAGCGGGGGGGACGGGAGTGGGCCCAGGCCCCAAGTAGCAGGAGGGAAGAGGGAGTGGGCCTGGACTGGGGGGGGGGGGCAG